GCCTTATGAAATGTAAATATGAAGATCATCTTATACCTGCAGCTGTTTGTTTGGGGAAGTAGAATAAAAGGTAATGATTAAAAAAAGGAAAAAAAAAGTGGCGTTACAGAAAGAAATAAAAAGTAGGCATCCAAAGGGCAACAAAAGGAGGAAACAATCAAAACAGAAAAAATGAGATAAAACTTACACAAAACAACTTGGTGTAAAACTGACGCTTAATGTGGTTTTTGTGAAATTATTTTTTACTTATCTAATGTCTTCAGTTTATCCTTTATTTTACCCTTTTAGAACGTTACAACCACCTCTGTCTTTTAGAGTATTTCATCATATAATACAATTTTATATATATTATATGGGCTGCTCAGTGGCGCAGTGGGTAGCAGTGGTGCCTTGCAGCAAAAAGATTCCCGGCCCGGGGTCTTTCTGCATGAAGTTTGCATGTTCTCCCTGAGCATGCGTGGGTGCTCTACCGGTACTCCGGCTTCCTCCCACAGTCCAAAAACATGACTGTTAGGTTAATTGGCTTCTCTACAGTTCCCTTAGGTGTGAGTGTGTGCGTTTGTCATGTTTGTCTCTGTGTTGAGCTGCGATGGACTGGCGACCTGTCCAGGGTGTACCCCGCCTCCTGCCCATTGACTGCTGGAGATAGGCACCACCACCCCTCGCAACCCCACTCGGGATAAGCGTGCTAGAAAATGGATGGATGGATATATTATAACATATTATATAATATTAAAGGTATAATGAAGGATTTTCGCAAATTTTTTAAAAAGACCCTCCCTCTCCACTTAAAAAAAATAATACACATGCACAACCCTGTACCCGCTCCCAATGGGGAACGGCTACTAAATGCATGTGACAGCGTGCACGAGCCAATTTCTCCTTGTGCACGCTCTGTGTAAAAGTTGCTGTCCAAACGAAGATTTGCAATTTTTCTACTATATCAGACTCACCACCGGTAAGTGATAATGGAGAAGAGCGCGTAGGACGGCCTTATGTAAACATATCACCAGAATGATTGACAATCAGGAGGACCACTTATTTTGATACTCCACCCGGAAAAAGAGCATCCTCCACTATGCCTTTAAAGTTATTGGAATTAATTGTATATTTTTATCATGCTCATTAAAACCTACCTTGCATTAACATATGAGTATTTTCTGTAATAAAGAAGATGTGCATACTTCTGTCATGTAACAGTAGAGTATATTGCATAAATATTGATACAAATATTAATCTAAATATTATAAATATATATTGTCAAAACCTTTTATTAAGATTTGACTTTCAGAGCTGGGATTTCAATAGTCTTTTCTGATAAATAGTTAATTTAATAGGCATATATGTAATTTTATGTATTTCTCGGAGACTACTGGACGTGAAAGATACGGCTACAAAAATTACTTACGTAGAAACACATCATATTGTGCAAAACGGGAAAAACTTTGTGTGGATGCTAGGCTAATGTTAGCTTGTTCTCCCTTTGTTTTGTTATGAATTGTTCAATTCCATGTTTTCCTTGCAGATCCAATAAGACTACGCCAACAAAACTAATAAATACATTTCTTTTTAGCTTCTTAAAGGAAATACTTTGCTTTGAACTTTAATGATTGATTCTTTCCCTTATGGCTGTCGATTGACCCTTGGCTCACTTGGTCTGGATAAGAGCCCAGACTGATCATTTCTGGTTTAGAGAATTTAGCTGATGCTTAATTTGTTCAAGTTTAACAAGCAATGACAGAAAGTTTCCTGAAACATTTATCTATCTGAAGAATAATCCACAAATATCTCAAAATTCTATTCTACAAATAAGGATTCAAACAAGAAGCAAACATATTTACTGTTGATAATATCTCATCTTAGAAACACCGCTGTTGGTGTTCCAGTAAGCATTCCCTTTAGGAACCTGAAAATAAAATCCCTTGAATAAATGTGCAAATCCAACGAGCAGAGTCAATTTGAATTCCTTTTATTTAAAATCAAATTTCCTTAACCTTTTCAACAGATAGAAGACATAACGGCCTGTAAGCCATTCAAAACTATGCCTTAAACAGTGACATATTTCTTTTTCAGCATTAGGGGCTGCCATATGCACTGGATTATGTCGTTATTTATGCAACACATCCAGTCAGATTCAAATAATGAACCTAATTAACAGAAACAACAGCTCAAACAACAACAACTACAAATGAAGTGTAAATACTCACACAGAGGGTCATTTTATGGGCAGTATTTGACTGTTGGTGGTAGAGATGTGCCGATCAGCATTTTAGGCCTCCGATCCTGATCCGATCTTTTTTACCTCAAATCAAATCCGATTTCGAGTCCTGATCCGATATTTTCTCTTTAGTATTGAAACTGATCAAACTCAAATATATTTTGATCAAGTAACTAAACTGTTTATTAGACTAATATTAAATCAAAAAGCATTACTATTACTACTGTAAATCCCATTAAATCAAAATCTTACCCAGAATTAAAGGTCAGCTTCAATTGAATATTTTAGACAAAAGTAAAAAGAAAAACACTGACTTGGTACAGTATTATCAAAAAGAAAGTGCTATCCAAGATCCACTTTTAGCTTACAATTGCTTAACATAGGCGGCCATAAAGTCAATAAAAATAAATTCCACCAACCTTTCTGCGATCTTTTTTGCTCTATTATTTTCGTGGGAGTATTTGTCTCTCGTCATAACGTCCAGCGTTTGTTGGTTTGCTTTAGTAACTTTTCCATCTGCAGCTTTACAAAAAGCTTCATAAGCATTGTCATGTTTTGTCCTCAAATGACGAATCAAGTACGTGGTCTTAAATGCATCTCTGCCGCTGAAATTGCCATGTTGCAGACATTGCAAGTAGCTTTAAGACAGTCTTAACTCACGACAGTAAAATACTTACCACACTTCAGACATACTTGCTTTGCACCGCCGGGGAGGTTTCTATTGCACAACTACAGTCAATCGTAACTCGGGCGACTAGTCAGGTACTGTAACCGAGCTCTGATCACAGGAAAATAGGAAAGATTGGGCCGATACGATCTCAAGATTGGGACATCCCTAGTATTAGTGGTGTTCAAAAGCAGGAAACATACGACATAAAGAAAAAGATCTTAAAAGTTATCAGAAACTAAAGGTTGAAAGAAGAGAAATAACAGCAATAAATCTATATGCTAATGCATTAGGTGAATATGATGAGTGCCACAGAAAACGGAGTTGTATACCCCTGAAAGGCATTGTTGTTTTATCACATTTAAATTTGACAAAATTAGATTTCAAAGCAGGATGACTGTAGCTTCATTTAATGAAGATAGACCCCACCTTACTTTTAACGCAGGGTTCACTGTAAGATTCTCCTGAACAAACCAGGCACAGATTTAATCCAAGCCAAAAAATTAAGAGGATGTATCTCAGAAAGCAGAGCAGACACAGACATGATGAGAGGAAGGAGCAGCATTCAGACGCGGCATTCATTATCACCTGGCTGACTTGCATATTGCGTTGTGAGAGTAATGGAGGAGGACAGACACAGGCAAAAAAAATCTGGCAAAAAAGGCTCTTTTCTTCCCCCCTCTGCCTCTTTTCTTCAAAGTAATCTTTCACTTTCTACTTTCACACAATGCACTGCAGGATCCCAATGTTTTCAAAATTATAATAACAGATACTTAGTGAAATATAGTTATATCATGCCTAATCTCATGCACAATGAATAGCAGGGTTGTATAAAAGGTAATTATGCGTTTAATGAAAATCATTATCTGCTCTCCTGTGTTGAACACTCCTTGTGTTAGCTTATGTGCAATGGTATGAAAAGGCCAATATAGAACTGAATCACATTTGCTGCTTTAAGGATGGCATTATAATAAGGGGTGACAGAGCAGAGAGCCTGTGCATGGCAGAAGCTCTGAACCTCAGGTGAAAATGTTGATACTGGATGATGCAAACTGTTTGTAAAGATTTCCAAATAAGGATAGCATCATAGAAATAAATAAATTAATTAAATAACTAAATATGGGTAAAGCCCAAGTTTGAGCAGCAGACAGTTTAAATGACAATTTCTCTATTAAGTCACTAGAAAAATTGAATTTTTAATCATTTCTTTTCTTTGGGTAAAAAACATTAAGTGAAAAAAACTCCTGCTGGATTCCTCACATGTTTCTTATGAGATGCCTCAGTTGCTGTTAGAGAAATGGGAAAATCAGCAGCCGATCACCTGGTTGGTGTGCGAAGGCACAGAGCTGAAGCCGAGGCTATTACAGAAGCTCAAAGTTAGCCTCCTTTATCCCTTTCCAAAACCGGTTCTGATGTGTTTAGGATCATCCTCCTGTGGAAACGGCCACCTGTGTTGAACTTTCAATCATCTGTGATTTCAGGTAAAATCAAAGACCTTAGAGGTACTCTGGGTCTTTTCCCCTTAGTTGTGCAATGCAGCCCTAAACCTACAAGCAGAAATATGCCACATCGAGATGCAGCCATCGCTAATGCTTAACAGTAACAAAGGGTTCATTAACTACAAGACACTAAACCTTGATCTTTTAAAGCGTCATGGTTGGAAAACGGGTAAATGTTCTGCTTTTCTGACAATAAAGACTCTTGAGAATGTATTTGCCATCAATGCAGGTTCTTTGCAAGGCTGCAGCTATAAAATGTTTAGTAATTAGTTAATTTACTGATAATTTTTTCCATTAATCTTAGAGGAGATATCTTTATTGCATCAACATTTCTTAATCATTAACATTTAGAAATTATATAAAAAAAAAACATTTACTGTACATTTTAAATTAATTGGGAATGGCAATGAGACAATACAAAACTAAAACAATGTTCCCAACAATACAATTCTTAAGATATATAGACTGTGTAATGAGACTTTAAGGATAATTTTCCATGTTTGTATCTAAAGGAGGAAAATAAAAATGTTCTAATTCATTGATTTGAAATTTTAAGCATTTAAAAGCTCTCTAGGAGCTGTTTTTAAGTTACAAACAGGCAAATGAGGCCTCTTACCTGTGACTCGACCTGATCTGTAGTCCTTGTACATCCTATAGATAGAGCGTTGCACAACGTGACCTCAGCTCTTCTGCTCCTATAAGGAATCTGTTTCAGAAAACAAAACAAGCAGAACAAATTCCTGATTAGCCAGTGTTTGTTCTATTCACTAATCACAACTTCAGAGTCGCCCAAAGCACAACTTCACAACACGGCTTATTCATTCGGCACTCGTTCAAGGACACCGAGTGAGATGAGCTTTAGGAAGGGACAGGCATAAAAGAAGGCTTTGTCTTGAGCAGAGACAGAAGAGAGCCGGAGAAGACTGTAATTCATCTGCTCCTCTAAAAGACACGACCTCCCTGCTTTGTGGAGCAGAAGCTCAGTGGAGCCAGAGAGGGTTCTGAGGCTGGGGTGGGTCCCATTGACTCTACTATTAACACCCAGACTGGGAGGATCAACGAAGAAATACAAAATACTGCCAGATGGGTGCACAGAGAATTTTTTAATGGGTTTCACTCCAGCAAGAGACACCCTAGGGTATCAGCTATGACCACAGTCATTTTATTTCTCCTACTATGATAATCTGCATCAGTCATGCCTTGCCAACACACTCATAGACCACTGAGAAGGTCACAGTAATTCCAAAACCTCAATCCACACAGCTGACAATAGCTTCTGAATGTTGAGAGGAAGACGTTACTGATTTTTTTCATTTTAATTTTGGTTCAAGGACTTAAATGGTCAGATGTTCACATCTACATTTTGATACTTGAAGGACAAGACAATCGGAGACTAAGCTGTAAAAAATAACATCATCTCGTCTGGTGTCTAGAGAGATGGATGGATGGATGGATGGATGGATGGATGGATGGATGGATGGATGGATGGATGGATGGATGGATGGATGGATGGATGGATGGATGGATGGATGGATGGATGGATGGATGGATGGATGGATGGATGGATGGATGGATGGATGGATGGATGGATGGACTTAGAGCCACTAAAGCTTTTTCTAATGATTTTACAAAAGTATAAACATTTTTTCTTATTGAAAATGTACTGAGATAAAACCCAGAGTTAAATCAAAGCAAAACCTGCCGGGGGTATGAATAATTTTGGGCTTCAATGTTGCTCTGCCAACATTAACATTAAGGCCAAGACTCCCTTCCAGCAGACATATGAATTAGTTATTCTCCATCAGAAACACAGCAGTTTCTGCAAGGCTTAAAAGATATATTAATGCATTGTACTATTTTACCATGTTTAAAGGCACACCGCGGACTTTGGGAACTAAAGAGTTAAGGCATATACATTTTTTTAAATAATTCCTCAGACCAATATACATCGCTTGACACAACCAACGCTACAAGTGGGGCTCTTCTCTTAAAATACCGCCTATGTAAGTTGGGAGATAATCCACAGACATTGTTTTATAGTCAATGAGGCTACTATATATATATATATATATATATATATATATATATATATATATATATATATATATATATATATATATATATATATATATATAAATTTTTTGTATGTTACTTTTACTTACATAATAGAAGATCTGCTTGCTAGCAGGAAGTTTTTTTCCTTTTCCATGGAAGCAAACCTACTTTAAACATAACTGCCACTTAAATGGCTGGAGTAAGAAAATATATTCTATTAGTCCTGTTAAATATAATGTGACCAGAATTAAATTGCACTGCAATTAAATTGCAATTATATAGTATTTGCAATTAATTGGCCAGCCCTACTGAGAACAGAAATAACAAATCTAACTTTTTTTTAGCCACTTGCAAGATTAAATCACTTACTTTTTTTTGTCTTTAGGTACAAACAAAATAATATGCACCATCAGGGCCCAGAGGCCTACAGTGAGAAACAAAAAAAACCAAAAGGTTTGCAGTAAGTTACATGGTGTTTTTAAAGATGAGAGAAATGGAAAGGAACCCTGCATAATGGTCATTGTAGAGAGGGATGCAGACATATAGGTGGTCTATAAAAAAGCCCTGAATTTGCTGATTTCAAGCAAACCAGTGGCAACAATAAGAGAGCAAATTCATGGCCGGCAGTGAAAAGCACACGTTTCCGTCTGTAAAGACTGGAAGTTAAGCTGCTGAGACACCATCAAGAAGACATTAGGATAAAATCTGTGAGAATGATAGCTATTTAATAATTTTTTTCTAGTGGGAGAAGTGCAAAGAAAATCTGATTTTAAAGTCTTTTGTGGCAAAAAAAAAACTAATGACTTTATTCTTTTTTTAAGCACCCTCTTTCCCACCATTTTTATTACCAGCATTTCTCATTTTCCCTCACTCACTTGAAAGGTACTTTTACAAAGATCAGATGAAGCTTAGTTTTGAATTTAAGGAAATGTGTGGGATAAGGGTTATAAGTAAAGCAGCCTGGAAGTGTTGCAAAAACCTGATCAGCCTAACAGTGTAAATCAGATATTTCTTAAAACCAAAAGGCAGAACATTGGATAAAACCAGAATGAGATTTGCTGTATAAAAAGGTATGAACCTGGAGGAATAAAGGCTTGTTCAGAGGGGAAAAATACATTTCCTTTGCTTTTATTAGCACAAATATAATATCTGAAAATAAGAAGATGCCAGGAAGTTTTTTTTTTTTTAAAGTGATTTAATCTGGAATGGCTACATATGTAGACCTTCTGATCTATTTTCCCTCATGTAAGTACTATGCTGCTAGTGATAAATAGAAAAGGAAAGATACCTCAGACCAGAATTTGAGGATTCCCTCAGTGAGAGAGGATTACGAGGCTTAACTGGCCACTAAAGTGATGGATAGTGAGAGCAACCCTTATAAAAAGTCCCAAAGGGTACATTCATCTTTTTCCTCAATGGCACTGAAACTGTAGCTTGGAATGGAAAAAACAAAACGATTCGCTGCCTGAATCATCCAAGGCATCAGTATTTCACAAGAGGTTTACCAATATCTTTAATTTCCTGTTGGCAGTCCTCAGCCTACAAGTTTTTCTTTTAAATAATGTGAATCTACCTTCATAAAAAGTTTAAATCTATCACATTGAATTCATTTTCCCCTAATAGGTGTATTGAGAAATTTGAAATAACTACATGTGTACAGAGGTGGGTTTACCTCAAGGAAGAACTATGCAGGTGTTGTACCTTACAGATAACATCTCAGGAATCTGTTCTATGTGCTTTATCTTCTTGGCTCATTTTTATTTAGTGGATTCCTAAGGGGCCAGACTATGAATGAATCAATATTTTTGCTATACTGCTATAAGACCAAGGAAGTAGGTAATCATTTTAGGGATGACAGGGCCTTATAGGCAAGACGCTTCACCACTATCACCTGCTGCTTTGGCATTCATCCATGCAGTATGACAAAGCTACATGAGAGCACCAAGCTGTGCAACCACCACCTGTGTTAGTATGTACCAGAATGGACAGGTTCATAGTTGATTTTATGGCACTTAAAGGAGCAGAACCAGTTAATTAAATTGACTTGGGACATGTAGCACACCAAGCTTATGTAAGAAGAGATAGTGGATATGTATCTTTAAACATCACATTTTTCATACCTTTCCCAGATTCAGAAATTTTATTCAGCTATGTGATTTGATTATACAAGGTGTTAGACATCTCTAAAATGATCAAAACAATGTGAAAGAAGTATAAATCCTAAACTCAATTATCATTTGAAAGTTTTTAGTGGTATTACAGTAATTAATCTAGTTTAAGCGTGCATGGATCAGGTTGCTTCTGCCTCTCTGCACACGTCCCTCAGTGTTCACAATGCAGGTGGTGGATCCACTGGAGGATGGATTCATGTCATTCCTTCCCGCTTGGCCCCAATTTTTTGGCCATCATAAGGGCTTCTTGAAGCGTGGCTGTCGGGGACAGAGCCCCTTGATTGGCAGACTGAGGTGGTGGTTCCCCTCCATAAGAGGAGGGACAAAAGGGTGTGTTTGAACTATAAGGGGATCACATTTCTCAGACTAACCTGGAAGGCTTATTCCAGGGTGTTGGAGAGAAAGTCCAGCTGATCATCAAATCTCTGCCTCAGGAGGATGAGTGCAATTTTTATCTTGGCTGTGAAACTACTCAAGGGTTCATGGGAGTTTGCCCAACAGTTAATTTTTTGTTTTTTGGATCTGGGGAAGGCATTTGACAATGTCCCTCGTGGTGCCCGGTGGGAGGGCACTCCAGAAGTAGAGAATGGGTGACCCTTTACTATGGGCAATCTGTCCTGTGGACAAGCAGACCATGAGGGGGTCTGGTTTCAGGGATTAAAGGTCTCTACTTTTTGCAGATGGAGTGGATTTGCTGGCTCCCTGCTGCAAAGGTCTACAGCACGCACTGTGGAGGTACAGAGTCAGTTGTGAAGCAGCTGGGATGAGAATCAGCCCCTCAAAGTCCAGGTTAGAGGGCCTGGGGCTCACCTGGAAAAAAGTGGTTTCTCCCCTTCAGGTTAGAGGAGAGTTCCTGCCTTAAGTGGAGGATTTCAAGTATCATTGGTTCCCCCAGTGAAATCTATTATTAAGGACCAGGTAGTGCTTCTTCTCTGGCCTTTTTACATTTTATCTTTGGTGATGATGTTGACATTCAAAGGACCACTTGTCAACACCCAAATCTTTACCTTCTTTTAAATATTCTCTGTCAGAATCAAGTTGGGATACTTGTTATTAAGTCAAAATATCAATTCAAATATAAATGTGCCAGAGGTTTTAATTATTTTTGTCTTATGTGCATCAAAAATAAATATAGAAAATATGTTGGGCCTTACAGCAATAACACCATTTCCTCCACAAGAAGCGGCAATGAATTACTTTAGTTTTCCATCTGTCAACAGCTTACCAACTGCTCCCCGTCTCATTAACCAAGGAATGGAGGTCTCGCTGATAGAAGCACTACCCTGTGGGATAGGGACTGCCTGCAGGTGTCAATCAGGGTAGATTTTTGTTGCATACTCCATCAGAAAACTCAAATTTGCCAGTGAGGAATTTTTACACCCATGAAGGCAATGGCATTGTTGCCATGAAAAATGGTCTGCAGATTATGATCAGGATCTGTGTTGTACAAGCGTCGCTTTGTAATCCATCCATCAAGATA